TAACAGCATCAGTTTACAGGTGCTCCACAAAGTGGCCTCATACATGGTAAAAAGAGCTCGCACATGCATTGCTGAACTGGGAAGCCATTTCGAGCATATGTTGTAAAGACATGATTTGATTTAGCATGTCTAAGATGTAAGGTTATAAAGATTAATAGTAAGTGCTGTATGTCTTGTAGCTTGTGCATTAAACCAGCAAAATACAATTGCTTAGTGTGATGTGTGCGACTTCTTGATCTCCCTGTATTTGCAACAAAACTAGTCTTCCAGACCAAAAAAAAAATCTCTCTGAAAACACAAAATAAAACAGTAACAGGAGATCTGATTTACAGCTCAGATTATGGAATGAAGATTGCCTAGAGAGCATCAGTTGTAACTCAGAACAATATAGGTCATAACATTTCTGTAGACATGTATCATATAGGGAAAGTTAACTCAAGCCAGGATATGGCACAAACTTTCTGATTTCATATCCTCAAAGGTTTAACATCACAACAACAAAGCCTGCCACTGAACCATATGCTGAAATAGCCAAATTTCATCCACATCACCACAATCTGTTTTCACAGTATCCACATCATCATCATCCTCCTCCAATCAGCATTGTCTTAAAAGTAAATGTCTCCTTTACATGAGCTTTTTCAACAAAATTCTGCAAGGATTTCTCGTACCCTCTGTCACCATTACACCACTACATTAGCAAAACTTCTTTCATTTATTTACCCTAAGAACACATGATACGAAAATATTTGCAATAATAAGTTACTTGTGTCTTTCAGTATTTATTGTAATACAACTTTCGTAAGGACACCTGAACATGTGTGAGGTGGCACTGACACTAGCACCACTTAATTTTTGATTCTAAAACCTTCAAAAAACACGAAACATCTGCTGAAGCAAAATATTATTTTTTTGTACAATGTAAAACACAACACAGGAGCCTTGCAAACATTTTCTTTATACTTCAGTCTGATGACAACTAAAGAAAAATTGGAGACACACATGTTAAATTCAGTTAGAAGTTATAAAGATACCCATACATTATGTACTAAATACAGTTTGTACATCTAGAAGTACAAACATGGTCACAGTACAAAACCTTTTGGTTATATCTGACAAATTTAACACAGGTATAATCTGTACTTTAAGTAGCAAGTGCTTCATAGAAATAATGTAAAATTCATATCATAACAGATTTATATGATCTATGGGACTAAACACCTATGTAAGAGGAAACTGGGCTTTACAACTTCAGCTCGGCTACAACCTTCCTCAAACTATCCACAAGTCTACCAACTAAGATAAGTGCTACATACTTCTAAGTTGTATTAGGGCATGCGCTGTTATTTATGAAAATAACATCACCACCAACCCTGAGATATTAAATATATCATACTGTTAACATTTTACTTTAAATAATTCAGCATATCTGATTTTCATTGTAATAAACTGGGTTGTAGTTGGGGCAGGACAGCACCCCAGTGCTTTTAGGAAAGCTGAGACACTGTTCTGCACTTCTCTTAAAGTTAATGTCAAATGTACATGGTTTAGGTTAGCTGTCACCACAACAAATGAGTTTATAATCAATTGGTACTTAGAGACTGAATATTTATTTCCTGCTACATGTTTCGGTCCTCATAGGACCATCATGAGGCAGTAATATATGAATATGTCTAGGGTCACTGAATTCTTAATATGAATCCATATTTGGAGCAATGTGTCATACGCTATAATACAGATTGTGCCTAACAATGGTCCCATGAGGACCAAGACATGTAGCAAGAAATAAATATTCAATCTGTAAAATACTGATTGATTATAAAATCATCTGTTGTGGCAACAGCTAACCTTAACCATATATGTTTATGACTCACAAAAGGATGTGCACTGTGCAGAATGTCAAACATATGCAAGTTATTAAAAAAAACTGTTTAAATTTCTTTCTTTATAAATGAAAATTTTGCTTCAATAATAGGATTATTATCTTTCCAAAGAACTTGAAAGAAAAATTTAGAAGTAATTTTACACAAAATGAAAACATAAGAACTTCTGAGTTTAATTTTTTCTCTCTCTGAGACAGAAACATTAGTTTCTTGAAGTATGTGATTTCTGTGAGCTGTTTATCATACAATTCTGCTTTTAAAAGTGTAAAGCTACCATTGTGTAAATGACAGAATAACTTCATATCATGATTCACGCCCACGTGTTTCAATCTGAAATTATTTTCCACATCACCTCAGCACTTTTCTTTTTTGGGACTATAACCCTGATAATCCATATAATAATTCAGACTTTATTTTATTCTGGGTTCTTATTCCAAGTAATATTGGCAGATAATTCTGATCCTCCAGAGGAACATACAGCATCTATTTTCAGGGTATGCGGGCAGTATGTTCCTTCAAAATGTCCAAACTCCATTCCACTACTAACAATAAAGCAGGTAGCAAGATGTAATATATAATAGCAAAACAGTGTTCTTTCCAGAAACCAGGATACCTCAGTTGGTACAGCAACTAAGCTAGGGGATGGATGGCTGAGGAGCCTGGGTTCAATTCCCAGAAGAGGAAAAGATCTTTCTCTTCTCCGTAAGATCCAGACCAGCTCCCAGGCCCACCCAGCCTCCAATGCAACGAGTACTTGGGGCTGCTTCCTTTGGGCAAAGCAGAAGGGGGAGGGTGAAGCTGATCACTCACCTCCATCTAGTGCTGAGGTTAAGAAAATAATGCATTCACAAAATATTACTGCTCTTTCTTTCTCCATAGCAAAGTATAAAATACATTTATCATTGTTGCTCCTTGAAGAATCTGAATCTATACTCACACAGATTTCTTATTAACCCTTTAATAAATATATAAAATACATGTGCATATAAGGAAAAGGAATCCTATTTCTGCTTTGGTTAGAATGTACATCAACTTACTATGTTTTAGGATCTGATATCTTTGGTTATTCAGTGAAACCAAATGAGCATACTATTTTGATTTTCTGCTTATGATATAAGCAAAACAAAGCTGGCCATTAATACTTGTAGCCATGGAAGCAAGAAGGAAGCAAAAATTTTCAAAATTTCCAAACTACAAGTGTCCAAAGAAAGCATGCAAAGAAGTTAGTGATCTGATGAATTCTATATGCTGTGAACCAAATATGAAAATGTGCAGAATGCTACTCCATATAGTGCAAAAGGTAGCAAGAAACCTCACACATGAAAAGAGCACATGCAAGGCAGCAACACAATGATCAAGCTAAATATATATGGTACAAAGAAAAATTTAACTGCAGGACTTGAGGTTATTACAGCAGTGGTTATGAAGAGTTCTATCTTCTGGGATACAATACTGCATAGGCTGCTGAGTTTTGCCTATATAAAACCACAGCATGCACAGAAACACTTTCATGCAGCGGCTCCAAAATATTTGACATGATGCCACTTTCAATTTTCATCAAACCCTCATGCCTCCCAAATTTTTGTTACTGAAGCAAACTGACCCCTTTAACTCATATTATCATTCAAGTAACTCTTAATTAGTAACATATCAAAAATGTGATAAAAAATTACAATTTATAAGAGGAAAATATGGCATGGTGCTCTTTATTTGGCAATGAATAATTCCAACAATTGTTGAAACCAAATCCCCCTAAATTTTTATTACCTGGATTAACAATTCTGACAGGTGGGTATGGGAGAAATAATTAAATGCAACTAAGAATTTTTAAAATGAATCAGTAAAGTTGTCCCTGTGACTAACTAATTAAGCACTTCGCCATGAAGGTGGAGTGGATGTGTACAGCCACAGTTTCTTGACCTTGGCATAGTTTGAGGTTGGTGGTCAGCTTCATGACCTGTCCGCTTTACCACTGGGGAAAGAGCCCCTGGTACCCATTTGAGAGGAGACTGAGTGTACCCCAGAGCCAGTCTGGGATGATGTGATGAATCTGACTTTAAAAACTTAATTTCTTCTCACGGCCCCATGAATAATTGACCTAATCCTTCCAGCCACATTATGGCCCTGGGGATGACCCGGCCTTTAACAGAAATATGTACCAAGAATCTTCCTGTGGGTAAAGGGCAGCCAGCGTGTAAGGTTGACAACCTCACCGCCTCAAAACCCTATAAGCCTCCAAGCCCCATTAAAGGGACAGCTTTACTCTTCTTTATCTTTAGGCTATATATTACTGAATGACATGGGAAGATAATTATGAAAGAAGTGTGAGTATAAATTTGTAGGAAGTTGGTTAGAAACTATTTCAAGTATGTGTATGGTGAGACAAAATTCATACACACATACACACAACCATGTCATGTGATCTAGTCAAATGAATTAAAAATGTAATCACAAGCCTATTACACCAAAATTTAATTATAATTACTGTCTATAAAGACATTTAGCCCAGATACACAAAAGCAAATCTTGAGAATGTGCACCTCTGCATGCATATATTGCAATTAATTTCCTAACACGAATTTATAACCCTCTTCACCGCGAACAATCAGAATGTATGAAGACCCATTTAAAACACTATATTTCTCCTTTCAGATGTCCACGATATCCAGCCTAACCTATATACCTAAATTTTTCCATGGTGCTTTATCCCCATTCTGAAAAGAAAGGAACCTATGCAACTATGTCTCAAATATGTTAATGTAACTAAAACTTCCTTTCTAAAGCAAACAAAAACATCTGCACCTCAAGGGATGCATAAACTAGGGATCAGGAACTGCTGATCTACTGGAAAGCATTCTTGCCAAAGCAATAACAATATAAGTACAACTGATTCTGTAATCCAAATCACAAAACATGAAGAATGTTAAGTAGGAAACCACTGTTTAAGCAAAGTATAGTCACACATTTATGTTAAAAACCAAAGTGACCCACCCACTACCGTTACTTCCGCAGATCACTCACTCTCCATGGCTAATATAGAAGAGCAAAGGACCTTTAAGAATTAAGTCACCATTACAGCAACTTAGGTTCACACTTTCCCTTAGCCTTTGAACGCACCTTCACAGCTGCAGTGACTGCTGTAGAGAGCCCTTTCTTGAGGGCCTTTTCCGCCGTCCAGTACACGCCTCCCTCCCAGGGGTCAACAATGCTTCTGGGAGGTAGAAATATTCGAAGATATGTGTCTGCTTCTTCCAACTGCTGGAGTGACGTCGACTCAAACACCACCTTCGTCATGTAAATATCATTATCAAGCTGTGGGTAGCTGCCAAATACAACCGATCCCTTGAATTTGTCAATAATGTGGTTAAGCACAGGAATTATATCGAACTCAGACTTCCTCAGGTTTAGTTCAAGCGTGTAAACTTTTTCACCGTCAGGATTCTTAAAAAGGTCTTCCAAGTTGGTTACAGCAAGTTCAAAATATTTGGGAGTCCCAGAAAAAATGTACACATTATTAACTTTAACTACTGGGATAGTACTGCGCCATATCAACGACGGATCATCGTAGGTCCTAGTAGGGTTCAAATAAATCAGAGTTGATAATTGGGGTATCTTAGCCATTTTCAACGCAGGATTAGCATCCTCACTGATGTTATTTACACAATCTGTATCCAATAAAATTCTAGCTAGCTCCTTGTTCACTTCAACATCATGATTGAAAGCACGAGCAACACCAAGGTACGTAACATCATTATGTGCTGGGCCAACACCACCACTTGTGAATACTTTGCTATATTTCTGAGAAAAACTTGACACCTCTGATGCTATCTCATCAACATCATCACCCACAACGGATATTTTGCACACCTTTATACCCAACGAATGCAGACTTTGGCACAGGAAATGGGAATTTGTATCAACAACGTGGCCTTTCAGTATTTCATCCCCAATTACTATAATACCAGCAGTGTGGGAAGCCATTTTGCATAACAATAAAATTTACTGTTACTATAATCAGTGTTCCTATATTCAAACTGGTTCTCATTCAAATATTCTTACCTCTCAATTCACTTTATTCAAGAATTATTCCTTGCAGACTATGCAAAAATGTCCCTCTTTCTGTTATGTAATAAATGTTCCACACAACACAGCAAAAGTGTACTTTCAACAGAGGAATTAATATATGATTCCTGTGATTAAATCAAAACTAACTTAATTCATTTGCATAAGTCAGTCCATTTGCATTTCACAGAGCTTATTCAAAGCTACTGAAGAGTCCTTCTCACTATCCTGAAACCGCTTTTCCGCCTGACTCACATCACCTTTCTCCTTAACAGTTTTTTGTGCTTCTTGTTTCTGTAGAAGTTTAGCCTGCACTTCGGCTGTTAACTGTCCATCAACTTCTGCAGTTTTCTTGCGAGTAACTTCATTCAGCTGCAAGACCAAAGATAACCCAGCCTTAAGAACATGAATACTAACTTAACATACATTTCTGCAAAAAAAAAAAAAAATAAAAAGAAAAATTCAAGGTATGTTCTTTATAGACTCACCAAAAAGAAAAAAGAGAATTATCAGAGATAAGACTTCAAGGTTTCAAAGGTTGAGTCAACATTACACAACAAAACAAATGCATCACACAAATTATGTTCACAGCAGGTACCAAGGACAGGGACTTGAGTACTCTGACTACAGTATTAGACAAAAGTGCAAACATGTACATATTACAAATTCTGCAGATTTTATTAACATTTATGATCAAGGATTGCAGAAAGCAAATTTATTATATTCAAAAAGTAAAAAATTAAACTCTCCATTATCTAGCAAGTATGAGAAATGCAGTACACTTGTTACAAGAGCCTGCCAGCAATGTGAGGGCAACTGTTACAGAACCCCATCTCCAAACGATTTTCACCTTTTTTCAGTCATTTAATATTAGCATGGAAAAGCATTCTAAATGTTAATGTTTTTAAGAGGAAACTAAAAAATTATTTGCTGTGCAGCGTCTTCTATTCTCTTCAAGAGTTTTTCAACTAATGTTGGATTGATGATTAATTTGTTGATTGTCTTTTGGTTTGCAATTTTTAATACTGGGTTTACATATTTTATGTTACTGTTATTCTTTTGGTCTTATGCATCTTTTATTGTTATGTACCTTATAACGCTTGTTATATCATCATGATAGACCATTGTGTAATTTTTGTGACTTTGATATGCGATGCATTCGCTGTTAATTTTTGACATGTCCAATTGTATTCACTTCAGTTATGGACGAAAATATTATTGAAGTTGAGTTGTTTCAAAGTAAAAATAACAACTTTTTGCTTTACTCTGCATGTGGGGAATCTTCTTATGACATCAAAAATTGATGAGTGAGAGATTTCACCAATGGTCCCTATCCTGTGACCAATAAATACAGTCCATACTCTCCAATCAAATTTCTTCAGGAGCTGTCTGTATATTATCATTCCACCTATGCATAGGTCTTACAAACATTGTCTTTCCTTTAGATTTTCCTATCAGACTCTGTATGCATTTATTTTTTTAAACACTTGCTACATGCCCCACCTCATTAATTCATAATTTATTTACATCCATAAACTGTTACACAAGCACAACTGCAGCTTTCTCCAAATTCCTGTCACTTCCTCCCTCCTAGATGTAAAATTCTCCTCAGCACCTTATTCTTGAACACCCTCAGTGTAAGTTCTTCCCTCAATGTGAGAGACCAAGTTTTATATCAGTACAGAACCAAAGGTAATTTATAGTTTTGTATATTTTAATCTTTACATTTTCAGATAGCAGATGGGAAGGCAAGAGATTTTGAACGGAATGGTGGCAAGCTTTTCCCAAATTTATTCTGTTCACAATTTCTTCGTGAACGTGATTCCGATTAGTTTGTGTTGTTCCCATGTATATGAATCCACTTGATATGCAGCTTGTTACATTTCTCTTGTTTATGATATCCCCACATCATGACTCTGAAACCTCATTCTTCCTTATAATCTGAAAAAATGTTTCACTTCAACTTCATTATTTGAGAAGAACACTGTTACTACATGCACATCTTCTAGAACATGTTTACACAAACTGGATGCAAATGGAAAAAAAGAAAAAGCTACACAAGGTACAAAAATTGCTTAAAAGTGAAGCCACAGACACAAGGACTCAAGTACCTGTGCCATGGCGGAACGAAGTTCAAGAATAGGTTGACAACATGGGAGTGAGTGAAGAGATACTGCCATTTCTTAAGCTAAAGTTTTAAAACAACGTTACACACAAAATCTACAGAACTGTTCACATATGATCACAGAGCTAGTCAAAATGCATGGGTCACTATGAAGATATTTCTTCAGTGGCTGCTGGGCTTGGAAAGAAGAGCAAATAACTAACTCCTTAAAGTTGAGCCATTCCTGAGAAACCACCAGCTGCTCACCGACTAAAGAACATTTTATGGAACCTGAAAGTTCACTGCTGTGTTCACAAGAGCCCTCCACCGATCTCTATCCTGAGCCAGCTCAGTCTAGTCCATACTACCCCATCCCATCTCCCTAAAATCCACTGCAATATCTTCCAACCTACATCTAGGTCTTCCTAGTTCTCTCTTTCCTTCTAGCTTTCCCATTAAAATATTATATGCATTCTTGAAAAGAAGAATGGCATGCAAAAACAGGAAGAATCGTGCTTCTTGACAAATGCACAGCATATAACCACGAAGACCTTAAAGTGAAATATATTTACCATCAATTATATCTTATGGCAAACATCCATACCAGCATGGCTTGTTACAATATTATTTTCAGGAAACAGAACAGAACTTCCATTAAAGTACAGTCACTTGTAACTGCTCCTCCAAAGGTAACTATGATATAGAGCTCTGAATGTGGAAGAAGAAAACAACGGTGAAAACTGTGTATAGCTGCAACAGTAAGTAAAATTCTCAGGCGAATTGCAGTTTCTTGTCGTCATCATCATCATCATCATCATCATCATAACAATATAGATAATCTTGAACTCCACATGCAATTACATTCATACAAATGTGGATGTGGAGTGAGTGAATGCATAAGAGAGGAAGCCAGTTCCTTCCAGAAAGAGAAATGTAAAAGACAAAAATAAACAAAGAGATGCAGTGGGGAAGGACAAAAAAGAAAAAAGAAAGAAAAAAAGAAGAAGAAGAANCCAGTGGTCAGCACAACAAATCCCCACAGCCCTTAATTTCAGTTTTCTAGACAGGAGCCACTACTATTATGTTCAAGTAGTTCCTCAGTCATCATCAATTATCATCCCATGACTCACCTTCTTAAGCTGTACAGACACTGCCTTTGCCTTGTTTTTCGATTTCAAGCTCCTTGCTCCTGCTACTTTAAAGATGTTCTTCACCTGCTTGTTGCCTTTCTTCTGCTTTCCCATCTGTTATCTGCTTCTCACCTGAAAAGAGANCATTAGTCTGCAAGTGAACTATACCGACCGAGCAACCACCGCTTGTTGACGAAGTTAGTGTCAACTTTAATGGATAGAGGGTGTCGCGTGGTCAGCACAACAAATTCCCACAGCCCTTAATTTCAGTTTTTTAGACAGGAGCCACTACTATTATATTCAAGTAGTTCCTCAATCATCATCAATTATCATCCCATGACTCACCTTCTTAAGCTGTACAGACACTGCCTTTGCCTTGTTTTTCGATTTCAAGCTCCTTGCTCCTGCTACTTTAAAGATGTTCTTCACCTGCTTGTTGCCTTTCTTCTGCTTTCCCATCTGTTATCTGCTTCTCACCTGAAAAGAGACATGAACTTACATATTTCATTTTAATTAACATGTTTCAATACTGTTTTGCTACATTATTACTGGAAATGATTCTGCATAAAGACCCGAATTCTAATCATGCTATACACCTAATCCTCTTACATGGGACAGGAAAGATGTACTCCATTATCTGGATACAATTTCCAGACACTCTCTTTGCTATTTCATATCTATGGAGCATCACTGTACATTTCATGCAGATACAAATTTATTGTTTACTTAAAACACTAGGGGGCACGTGGTAGCATAGTTGGTTGAGGCACTATGCTACAAGCCAGACTGAATTCCGATGAGGTAGATTTTTTCAATTTGCCCAATTCTTCCAGCCACACTATGGCCCTGGGGTTGACTCAGCCTCTAATGGAAATGAGTCCCAGGAATCTTCCTGGGGATAAAGGGTGGCCGGTACGTAAGACCGACAACCTCGCCCCCACCTGTGAGCAGATTTTCTAGAAAATGTGGGAATCTCAACATCTCATAACCCTATGGGCCTCCATGGCCTGTTACAGGGATACCTTTACTTTTTTTACTTACTTACCTAAAACACTTGAGATATCACACCGCAGAATCTTTCTCACATATTGCATGAACAACATGTAAGAATAAATACATCATACTCTGTAACATATACCCTCCTTTCTCGCCTTCTCTTCCATCATCCTAAAATGGTGGCTGCAAGATCATGCAAGGCAAAATTTTACTCCATGTCTCAGCATCTGTTAATGCTCTCATACTCTTTAAAAAAGGGAGAGAGGTCTTGCAAGCGACTAAAAATCAGATGTTAGAAAAACAGGCTGTGAAGGTGTAAAATAGATTAAACCAGTTTGAAACGGACTCCAGTAACAAAGTATTTCTTCACCAGCTGAATAACACCAATTGAACAAGGAACAACCTATATCATGGCAAAGTTTCCCCTGTGCTTAATTAATTAAACATTCTGCCATGAAGACATATGGGGGAGTGGAGGTACAGCTTCACCAATCTTAACCTCAGCACTAGATGAAGGTAGATGATCAGCTTTATGCCCCAGCAACTTTATCCCTAATGGAAAGAGCCCTTGGGTGGGCCCCAGAGCGGATCTGGACATTATGATGAAGAGAAAAATCTTACCCCCCCTCTCCTTTCCAGGAACTGAAACCTGGCTATCTACCCTGTTGCTATACCGACTGAGCTATCTTGACTCCCACTTATACCATGGAGCAAATCAATTAAACAACCCAACTACAGTCATTCGTTAATTTTCACTTTCTGTGTCAAATTTCAACATATATGATATGTCAGAAATGTCTGTGGCCCCAGTGGAAATATATAGAAATGAAATGCATAAAAGGCAACATCTAAAAACAAAAATCATTTTCAATGATAACACAAAACAGAAACACAATTCTAGGGCAACCAACAGGTATGACTTTATATTTGTGTATACAAATACCTAATAGTATCATAAGTATAAAAATACACTGTACATAAATAACAAATGTTTAGTGAATATAGGAATGTTATTTAACTAATTCTTATAAGATTTATACTACAGTGTAATCCACGACAAATCCATATCCCTAAGCCACTATAAACATAGGCACCTTTGTGGGCATAGCATAACTACATTGCTGGACAATGTAACTGTGGGAAACATAACTCCTCACTGTATTGTAAAGACAAATAATGGAAGTGAGATTAAGTCGCCATACTGAAGCAGTAACTCCCAGATTTGAAAATGATATGAGGGTAAGTCAATAAGTAAGTTACAAATGCATATAGAACTTAAACAAATAAGAGTACTGATCTGAAAAATGCTTTTATTTCTCAACATAATCTCCCTGTACATTGAGGCACTTGTCCCATCATTTCACAAGCCCCTGAAAACCAGCAGCATAAAATTCTTTGGGCTGCTGTCAGAACCAGGCGGTGACTTCTCTTTCTACAGCTTCATCGTCATGAAAATGTTTAGGCGAAAGATGATGTTTAAGAGGGGTCACTTGGAGCAAGGTCAGGGCTAAATGGAGGATGCTCGAGGACTTCCCACTTGAAATTTTGCAGCGTCTCACTTGTCTTGTTGGCAGTATGGGGAAGCACGTTCTCATGTAACAGCAACACACCTTTGTTGAGGAGTCCTGGTCGCTTCTGTCGAATGGCCTTATAAAGTTTCCTGAGGATGTTACAGTAGGAGTCGGCATTTATGCTTTGTCCTTGAGGCTGGAATGTGATTCCAGTGAGCAGTGATTCCAGAAGACTGTGAGCATCACTTTACTGGAGGATGGTGTCACCTTAAACTTTTTTTTTTGGCAGGCGATGCAGGATGTTTCCACTGCACTGATGCACACTTTGTTTTGGGCTGGTAATGGTGAACCCAAGACTCAACACCTGTGACAATTCAGGCTAGCATATTGTGTCCTTCATCATGGTAGCGATTGAGATGCTGTAATGCCAGACCCATTCTTTGCATTTTGTGTTGTGTGGTCAGCATGCGCGGCACCCATCGTGCACAGACTTTGTGAAAACATAACCTGTCATGCATTATGAGGAAGGCCATGCTGTGTGAACAACCAAGAGCAGTGGCTATAGTGTCTATAGTTACCCTTCCGTCTGCCTGGATTAAGTCTTCAAATTGCTGCACATTCGCCTTGTGGTAATCTCCATTGGCCGGCCGATGCGGTGTTCGTCTTCAATACGTGTCCGGCCTTCAGAGAAATTCTGTACCCAATTGGAAGCATTTCTTTATGAATATTCTTTGACTCTATATCTTTTGCCCACAAAAATTGCACAATGGAGCGCTGCTCAAGGGTTGTACACTCACTCAGAGGCGCCGCCATCTTGTAACTGCTGTTTCACTTTTGTCAACATTGATTGTCTCATGTCATCAATTGCCACTGGACTAATGCTGCCATCTAGTGGTGATGGCCTCAAGTGCCTCATTCAAACATGTAGTACCCCACATCAATTTGTAACTTACTTATCGACTCACCTATGTACTTTTTTTTTAATGCTAGTGGGGTGGGACTAACTCTCTTGTACTGCAGCCACTTCTGGCCTATTGTACCAGCACCAAATGATAGGTGAGGGTGATTGTGGAGCAATTGGTGGAATGAAGATTGGCAGGGGAAACCAAAGTACCCAGAGAAAACCTGCCCCAGCGCCACTTTGTCAACCACAAATCCCACTTGACCAGACCCGGGATTGAATCCAGGCCGCCGTGGTGGGAAGCCAGTGACTAACCGCTTGAGCTATGGTGCGGCCCACCTACGTACTTTATGGAGTACTTAATTCTATTACATGTATATGTTTCTCATAATCCTCACCACTGTCTTCCACACACAGCCTCTTTACTTGGGTGTCCCCTGGAAAGTTTTGTACACATTTTCTGGAAATCTTACAATGCCTACTGCATTCACCAGTAAGAATGCTTTTTGATAGCTGAAATGCAACACGCATCATTTCCTTTTTCACAGAAACATTTCGAACATGAAAGACATCTATCATGTCTTCTCTCAGCTCTACACACAAATTTTCTTCTACCATTTTTTTTGCCACAGTCACTGGATTATCACCCTTTGCAAAACAGTATACATAGACAACTGGAAATATTTTTATTTCTAATGATTCTAATTCTTCTGGAGTAAAGAGGCCATTGAAAACTTTCAGGAATGTAACTGCCATAGCAGGTAGGTTCATTGTGATATGCATAGTGTTATTTCTGAAGTCCACATTCTGCCATCTCTGTAACATATCACTTCTCACATCTTCTTTAATGAAAACTTCACCATCTTTATTAAAAGTATGTATTAGTGCATTTACTTTATTTAGTTTTGCATTGTGTTCCAACCACTTATGTGATTCTGGATTTAAGTCATTTGCTAAGACAATACACTTCTTTTTAGCAGCTGGTATTGCAAAAGGACCTACCCCTGCAAAGACATCATACAGCACATCCCCTTGCTTAATTTTCTTTGCTATTCTCTCGTGTTCTGTACACAGTCGAGGGTTCCAATACACAGACGAGAAATCAAACTCAAAGGTACAGTGATTCTCTCGAACTTGAGCCAACATGCAGTCTTCCCCACACAGAATTTCCATATTGAAGTTCCTATACATGTTATCAATAATGTCTGTTTTATTAACGACTGTTCTTGCACCTTTAATTTTATCAAGGAAAACTTGACCAATCACCTTCCTATACTCCAACAAATGATCTCGAAGATTCACGTGTACAATGTGTCCTATTACTGAATAACTTGTTAAACTGTCTTTATCTTCTGGTAAAATGGCTTTCAACACTTCATCTGCTCTCCAATTATCATACGTTAAATTCAGTTTCCCAAATCTGAGTGAATCCTTGTTTATATTAAAATTCTGCAGTGCGCTTCTATCGCCCTCATTAATATCATCGAAGCATTTCACCATTACAGGATTCAGTACAATCCTTCTATCTGCACAAGGACTAGCTTCAGTGGTACAATCACTTGGTTCATGTATCTGTACAGGTTTGAAATTAACTAATTTCAAAAGATACTTTCTGAGGTACTTCATTACAGGGTCCAAACTCACTTCGTTTACAGCCAGCCATGGTACGACTATGCTTTTGGCAAACCNACGAGGAAAACTTGACCAGTCACCTTCCTATGCTCCAACAAATGATCTCGAAGATTCACGTGTACAATGTGTCCTATTACTGAATAACTTGTTAAACTGTCTTTATCTTCTGGTAAAATGGCTTTCAACACTTCATCTGCTCTCCAATTATCATACGTTAAATTCAGTTTCCCAAATCTGAGTGAATCCTTGTTTATATTAAAATTCTGCAGTGCGCTTCTATCGCCCTCATTAATATCATCGAAGCATTTCACCATTACAGGATTCAGTACAATCCTTCTATCTGCACAAGGACTAGCTTCAGTGGTACAATCACTTGGTTCATGTATCTGTACAGGTTTGAAATTAACTAATTTCAAAAGATACTTTCTGAGGTACTTCATTACAGGGTCCAAACTCACTTCGTTTACAGCCAGCCATGGTACGACTATGCTTTTGGCAAACCTTCCCCGATCTAGAACCTTCATACATCGAACTTCGGATGGTGGAAGTAAGTCACACTGGCCCACATTTTGTTTAATTTCGCCTTCACTTAACAAACAACACGCCATCCTCCGTCTAGATAACCCTTTCACAAATGATGCATGTGCAAATCTACATGCACATAACCGTAACTCTATAAATTGATACACAAATGGTAAAATATTTCCATGCGCAAACGAAACCATAACAGTTACGCTTTCTCTTGTAAAAGAAATTACCTGANAAAGCATTTCACCATTACAGGATTCAGTACAATCCTTCTACCTGCACAAAGACTAGCTGCAGTGGTACAATCAATTGGTTCAAGTATCTGTACAGGTTTGAAATTAACTAATTTCAAAAATACTTTTTAAGGTACTTCATTACAGGGTCCAAACTCACTTCGTTTACAGCCAGCCATGGTACGACTATGCTTTTGGCAAACCTTCCCCGATCTAGAACCTTCATACATCGAACTTCGGATGGTGGAAGTAAGTCACACTGGCCCACATTTTGTTTAATTTCGCCTTCACTTAACAAACAACACGCCATCCTCCGTCTAGATAACCCTTTCACAAATGATGCATGTGCAAATCTACATGCACATAACCGTAACTCTATAAATTGATACACAAATGGTAAAATATTTCCATGCGCAAACGAAACCATAACAGTTACGCTTTCTCTTGTAAAAGAAATTACCTGATTTATAATGAACATAAACTTAACAAATTATAAACAAACTTTTCTACGTAATAAAACTACTTCACAAAATTTTCCAATACAGTATTAACGCCGATCAAGGCCATCAATGCCACATAAATTTAATCACACACATATATTTGCGTACCAGTTCCGGAAGCAGGGTGCGTCATAACCGGCGATAGCCACTGACAGAGGGAGCAAATGTCCTAGGGAAAGGGGGAACAAATGATCTCCTGCCATCTCTACGTAGACGGATCGAACTAGATAGTCAAACCCAACCACAATTCAACTGTTGCAATTTATTATTATTAAGAGAAAAGCGCACGAATGTGCATTACATTGATTCTGGGTTTTAGCCTTTGCTATAATCACACAGAGATTTATGGTTGTTTTTACATCTTTTTATGTGGTATAATTCGCAGAACTGATCACATAACGAGCACACGCAGTTTTCGCTTGGGTCGTGATAAAACATGTTTTTACATATTTTATGGTGGAACCCGTGCACTGCTAGTGTTATCACCGCATGTCTTAGTCTCTGGTTGGCGTTGGTCCAATTCCGGTTCACATGGCATCCGGGCTGTAGAAATCTAGAGGTATTTCTTCTCTTTTCCTCCTTCTCTCCGCTCGGTGTGCTTCTACATTCTGTGGGGCTCTTGTCAACGTGTGTAGTCTTGTCACTACTCCTATGACAACCCACTTCTTCGGAACAGTTTGTTGGCCCTGAAAAGGACCGTGGCTGCTGAGATGATTGATCGGTGAGGTAGCGCGGCGCGCGCCGGTAAGGAGAAGGGCTAGTTACGGTGAATGGCTGGTGAAAAGGCTAGTCGTTGAGCGCGGTCGTAGGAGCCATGAGGCAGTGGCTACGCCAGATGCCCAGTGAGTCGGACCGTAACACGACCACCGGCGAGTCCAGGCGCGGTGCCCCAGTGAGTCGGGTGTGAGAGCGCTGGAGAGCCGGGGCAGTCGTGCCTGGCGCAGCCTGTCGATGTCTCCGAAGACCGAGCGCTGGCGACGAAGCCTGCTGGTTGAAGTTGCTTGCTGTGTGGCTTGATCGTAGACTGCTGATGAACTGCGTGGGACTGAATAACTCGGTCAGGTCAGGTCAGGTCAGGTCA